TATCAGATTGGCAAAAACCAAAAACTGTATGACGTAGTGCTGGTGAGTGAGAAAATGGGCTCTCTCTCCTACTCCATCTATCAGAGCGAATACATTTGGAGGGCAAATTTAGATGCATTTACCTTTTACCCTAGCAATTGCACTTCCAGAAATTGAATCCATACATATACTCAACACCCCTCCAGAAACACAAATTTATCCAAAATAATACCATTTTTTAATGACACTCCAAACCTATATCTAATTCACAATCTAAAAATGTTAAATGGGGAATATTCACACCTGAATTTTTCTGGTCCAAATGCTCCATAAAAAGTAGTCAACTTTGCATGAGCCCTTAATACCTAAAGAGAAAATAACGTGATAATCAGAATATCGTGTGTGACAATGCTGAAACAAAAAACACTAAAAATTAGTCATTCCATTTCAGAAGCCTTACACACATTCACATTTCATCCCCCATTACAGGTCAGTTGTTATAAACACAGCTTCCTTTATCTAACATCAAACCAAAAAAAGTGAAATAATGAAAACATTTCCAATTACATTCAATTATAAAGGCATGAGGACATTAATTGTGGGCGCCCTTCAAATTCTGTTTTCCCACTGATTTATAAATATTCTTATGGCAAAATCTAGCTGGATTACACCAACATTTACTTTGACCTAAGAATTTAAATATAGATATGCATGTGTCCATGCTCACAAGAATTTTGGCACCCCCATAATCATCATCATCACAGTTTTACATTTATTTGAGCATTTCACAGGTACCAGGCACTATGCAAAATGGTTTATAGAAATTATTTCCTTTGATCTCAAAATGACCCTATAAGGTAAATACTATTAATCTTCCCATTCTGCATATAAGAAAACTAAGATATTAAAATGATAACTTGCTTTTGAAGAAACACAGACTCATCTTGAATAGAAAACAGATTATGAAGGTACATTCACCCCCAAATTAACCTATGAATCGAATATAGTTACCTCTTTCAAGCCATCAGAATAAATAAGAACAGTTTTATCTTCTTTCTTCAAAAGCTAATTAAGAACAATGAAACACAGTGAGTAGAACATTTGCTATATTATGATTTTTTTAATTTGTTTTAACCCAAGAAACTTGTAAAGTATTAATATTATGATTTTCAAAAAAGAAGATGGATTTTCCATGAATTAACAAAAAAATTATCTTGGGGGGGAGGGGGGAGGAGGGGACGGGTATTTTCATACACAAAGAGTGCAATGCGCACCACCCGAAGGATGGACATATTTGAAACTCGCACCACAGGTACTCACCATCAAACTGGTATTAGCTGATCAACA